AAGAAGAGAGATGAAACTTGTTGGTTGGAGGAGTTTTCAAAAACTTAGGTTTTCCAAAAGTGTTTTTTTTGGGTCTTGTATTTTTTTTTTTTTTTTGGTTGTCAAAACCTTTTTACAATATTAATAGTCAATTTTATTTACTTCTTTTACATATATAATCTGATGTACTTTTTTATTTATTTTAGTTTTTATCTTTGAAAAAATATTTATTTATTTTTTGAAAAAAAGATTCTTTTAATTTTATTTTGTAGTTTTATAAAAAATAATTTTAACTATTTCAATATTTATTATTTTTAATTTTTTAAAAAAAATTGTTTAAAAATTTATTTATTTCTTTATTTAAATATTTTATTTTATTTTTTAAATATGTTAATTATTTAAATATTTTTAAAATATAATATTTATTTTTTAAAAGAATTATAATTTTGTTTAATTTTACAAAGTTTTGGATCCCCGCACATATGATTTTAAATCATATCAGCACAGTTATTGTGGTCAATACTTAAAAGAATAATAGAATATTTTTTTTGAAAACATAAAAATATAAAATTTTTTTAACCTTATAAAAATATTTTTTTTTAAAATAAAAAAATATTTTTTTCTAATAAATAAAAATAATTTGAAAGAAAATAAAATAAACAAATATTTTTTTGGGAACCATTTTAAAAAATAGAAAAAAATAATTTTTTACCATAACAGTCAAATTGTAGCAAAAGAGTTTTAAAATAATTTTGGAAAACAAAGTTTTTTTAAAGGGGTTTGACATTTGAAAACTTGTTAGATTTATGTTTTGAAAATCCATAACCAAATCGGATTTTTGGGATTTAACTTCAATTGGGATTCAAAATCGTGTTGAAACAATCTTCTGGTATATATAAAGTAACATTGAAACCAAATCAAACAATAAAATAAATAACTTACATGATTTTATTTTACCCGGAACTGAATAAATAATTAAAAGATCAAGTTGAGTGTGTGAGCACTCTGTACTTAAGACAGATTCGCTCGTTTCGGTGCATAAGGACTAATGGCGTCTATCTCCTAATGATTTTCCACAAAATTGTGGTAAACGAGCTCCAAACAGAATTTGTTCGGCGAACAGAACGCTATGTTTTATACTCCTCTTAAATTTATTCTTAAAATTATATGAAGAAAATATGCAACAGAGCAAAATTGGACAGCAAAAAATAAATTTTTCAAAAGTACTACAAAGATTGGCTGGAAATGGCTGTATTATAGACAAATCCAAGGTTGTTCGAACAGGTATGAAATCTGCCAAACAGATACGATGATTGTTGAATGAACAGGTAATGAAACGCTTTGAACAAAATACAGTTGCACAATTCAAACAAACTGTTGGTGTACTAGCTGGGATAGATTTGAATCTGTCTGGGCAGTTTCAATCTGTCCGCGAATTTGAAACTGTTTGTGAAATGTTAGAAGAAGGCACAAATTGTTAGAACAAATTTGAATTCAAATACATTTTGAAATTCAAATTAATTTTCCTTGGCAAGAATTGAGAAAAAAATTCAAATAAATTTTGTTCAAAAAAATTAATGTTAGAACCGGACTCACAACCCACACCTACACCCGGCTCGGCGTGGCTTTGGGCGACCGCGTGTGGTGGATTGGGCTAGAGGGTTCACTTTGGTCCATACTCTCCCTTCTTAAACTTGGGGCCCTTTGGGCCCAGCCCAAGTTAGTACAGCCAAGAGTTATCATACTCGCAAAAGCTCGTCTTAAAATTGTTAATGTGGGACATCGCATTCTCAAGCAAACACACATTTAACTTCTTTAGTTGGTTCAATTTCATGAATCCGAAAGTGACGTCAACTTCCCATTCACTCATAAATAGTTTTGGACGAACTGTCTTTACCGTGTGACTTGCAGTGCAACGAAAAGGAACACATCATCTCTTCAGACCCATCCCAAAAGACCGTTTCGGACCCACTCAAAATTGGCCGGCCAAAATTTTGGCCCAAAATAAAACTAATATAAAAAACAACAATTCCAACAAAAACTAAACCAAACCGTATTTTAACATTTATTAAGCTACATCCCTAAATTAAAAAGAAAGAAATCAAGTGAATTTTTAAGCCATATATAATTGTGAAAATATTAGGCATGAAAAATCTAAATGAAGATAGTTAAGTAATATAATTATATTTTATAATAATTTATAAAATCTAGTGGGCTCATATCTTCAATCTTATTGACCAAGTTCTAGCTAAAAACATACGGTATGGTTAACCCGATTTGAATTTAATATTGTATTATAGATTCAATCATTCATTTTTTTTTTTTTAAAAAACAAAAAGTTTAAACTTAGGTAATCTTTATATTTTTTTATTTTTTTTATTTTTTTTAAAATTTGTTTTTAAATTTAGAATAAATATAGAAAAATGATATACAAGTCTCCTTTCTACACTTATTTTCTAGACCCAATGACGTGTAAGTGATATGATTAGAGAATATATGAGACAAAGTATTATCTTTACTATCTTAATCGATTCTCACATTATTGGATTTAAAAATTAGATCTAATTTTTTGTCTTAAATATTAATACTTATAAATTTATTGATTATTGTTTAAATCCGTGCATAACACGGATTGTATATTAGTATTTTTATATATATTTTTTAGATAGGTAGTATTTTTATAATTAAAAGGTTAAAATATAGTATAATTTATAAATGAGTGGTTAAAAGTAATATGAGTAATGTTAAAGACCCACATATTTGATTTATAAATTCACTTTTATAATAATGTGACAAAAAAATAAAATCCCAATCATTATGTATGGAGCAAATGAAAAGTTAACATTCATCTTGATAGATCATTATAAATAAAATCATAAAATTATTTTAAAAGTCTCAAACAATTATGAGATATTTTTAGTCCCTCAAACATTTTTCAAGTATTTGATAATAATAGAGAGAAGTTTGGGCAAAGTTTGGCTATCTTAAATAAGTATACACTTTTTATCTTTCTATTTTTATTTCGTCACATTATCTCTCTATTTTTTTACACATTGTTTTATAAAAAGATAAAAAATACACTTATTTAAGTTATCCCAACAACTGTGAGAATTGTTTTTAGGGTTAGGGTTTCCTTCATTTGGCGTGTAATATATAACACTTTTTTTATTTTTTTAAATTACTTCACATCTTAGACACCGTTTAGGAAGTGAGTTTATGGGCTTTTTTTTGGCTATTTTAGCCACAAAAGACAAAATAGGCTATTTTAGCCACAACAAACAAAACATCACATCCAACCCATAATTATTACACTCTTCTCTCACAAAAAAAAGTCAAAAAAGTCAAAAAGTTCTTCACAAACCAAGCTTTTTATCCCAGGCTAAAATAATCAAAAAAAATCAAAAAGCTAAAAAGCCAACCCATTTCCCAAACAGAGACTTAATTTTATTATATATTTTTCGTAAAAGATAAAAAAAAACTTATTTAAATCATTTCAAACCGTATCTTACAGAGGTAGAGAGAGAGAGAGAATGAACGAGCGAGCTTGTCTGAGAGTCTCAGCAAAACGGGTCGATTCTCCATGAATTGATCTCGAATTACGCAAGGTTTGAATCACTTCTCATTTAACTTCTGAAAAAAATAAAAAAAACGCTTATTTAAATCATTTCAAACCATCAAACAGGAACGAACGTACAGTGGTAGAGAGACAGAGAGAGAGCGAACGAGCGAGCTTGTCTGAGAGTCTCAGCAAAACGGGTCGATTCTCCATGAATTGATCTCGAATTACGCAAGGTTTGAATCACTTCTCATTTAACTTCTGAAACGTTAAAAATGCTATGTTTGCACCTCTTGCTTTTGTACTAGTTCATGAAACCCTAGATTGTTGATTTGTTTGTATCTTCTTATGTTCTTGATGATATAACAATTGCTCCGTTTGGCTGCTTAGAAAACAAAGGGAAACAAAAAAAGAAAGAAATGGAATCTTGCAGCGTTGGAGTGAGTTCTTTTGTTTTCCAATTCCAATAAATTATCGGGCATCAAACGGAGAGTTCATTTAGTTGTTCATGTACGTACACATACACGTATGTTCGGCTCTATGTGGCTGTGTTCAGAAGCATCATAACATGATAAATAAGGCTATTTACTCTTTTCGGGTGTACAAAATAGAGAAATTAGACTTCTGATTTTTTTTTTGAAAGATCAAAAATTTATTTAATTTAACGTCACACAATGCTATCTACTATTTGGTTGTGTGCTTTATCAAGTGTCCCGATTTATTATGTCTTTGTTTAAGATTCTAGTGGGAGTGACCAGCAGAATTGAAAAACTGATGAGAGATTTTTTATGGGAAAGTTATGAGGAGGGGAAGAAATACCACTTGATTATTTTGGACCCGATTTCTCTTTGTAGGAGTAAGGGGGTCTTGATATAGGAGTAAGGGGGTCTTGATGTAGGTAATATTGTGGCTTTTGACATGGCATTGCTTGGAAAGTAGTTGTGGAGATTTTTCATTGACAGGATTCTCTGTGGCATTGTGATATTCGGAATAAATATGGTCATCAAGCTAATAGATGGGACTCTCTTGTGGTTAGACGTGGGAATTATAGATCCCCATGGAAATCTATTTCTCAAGTGGTTTATTCCTTTCAATGTCGGAAATGAGGAAAAGATTTGATTTTGGGAGGATGCATGGATAGTCTCTTTTAATCTGTTGTTCACTCGGTTGTATTGACTTTCTCAATCTCATAAATGTTCTTATTGCTTTTTGGCTTCATCTCATTAGGTTTTGTATCTTGGAATTTCAATGTATAATTATATATAATATTTGAAATTTAAGGACTATGGGTCCAATGATTTGGTTATTTTTCTCTCCTTGTGATGATTTTTCTTTTAGTAATGGAGTTGTTGATAGGAAGAGTCTCATGGACATGTAGTTTATCTTTCTGTAAGTACTTTCTTTGAAATGATTATTATTAATTTCAACCATGGTTTTATCGCTATCATGATGATTTGAGTGCATATGT